GCCATACTTCTTTCTAATCATTTCCATGATCAAGGATAGGATAGTAGTAGGACATATAAAGGGTATCAAATTGCCTATTGATGACAGATATGAAGTTGTGGGGCAATATATTGATGACACTTTTTCACCATTGTATAAAAGAAGACTTTGTTCCAACACACTATTTATATGCTAAATAATTTTTATGTAACATCAGAGTTGGTACTCAATTAGGAAAAGCATTGTGGTGAATGGCAGAGTGAGGACTCTTTTGATTGCCTTTCATAGACCAACTCGCTCAAAACTATATAGATAAATGAGGCAATAGTCAATAAATTGTTAAAAATGCCGTTTGAAATTTTCTTCTCCATTCACCAAGTTGATGATTTTTTGAAAGAAATGACAAAGAAAAAACTTTGATATTAGTGTACTTTAAAAGTCAACACTAGTAGTTGAGAGGTAATTACAAATAAAATCCTCTTGTCCTCTATTTTCTTCTTTGCATCACTCTATGGAGGTTTAAAAGTAAGATTTTCAAAAATCTATGCAAGAATATATGGTTATATATGATTGAGATCAATGTACAAAGCAAGGAATAAAAAGGCATAGGTCCAATGCAGCCAATTGAGAGAACTATGGGGCGATATATTTAGTAAACTCAATGGATGCTTTGATGGATATTTCAAACTTACATATGCTAATAAAATGTTGCATGTTATAATTTTAGCACTACAAAAGCAAGTAATGGGCTCTCAACTTTAAATTTTTTATTTACATCAACTTTCAAGGTAAATATAAATCAATAATTTGAAATAGAATTGAAACTTTATGGCAATCCATTATCTGAGACCTTATTCCAATTTAATTATCTTCCTTTAAAAAACTCATGAATGAGTCTATCTGGTGGATGGCCTTCATCTTGCAAATTGTTGTTGGATTTTTGAAAGCAATGATGGTTGAAATTCACCCCATAGGGTTGTCTCATATTTAAGATATTTGATTTGGACCTAGGTTTCTTACCCCCTCCAAAATCAAATCACAGTTTGATCTTTTGTCTCCTTTAGTAGCACTTGAGAGGTAATAATTTGGAAATTAACAACTTTCTCAAGGTGACTATTATCTCTAGGTCAATCATTTGCAAGCGACCAAGAAAAGGTAGGTTGTTTCTAAAAGGTGTCCAACAACCAATCATCCATTATCTTCTAATCTACTGAAAAGATGAACCTTTCTTTCGACAATCTTTCAAAAAAAATGGCAGATAGCCTCTCAAACCTCCATATTCATGGTTCGATAATTCACTTAATGCTTAATTAAATCCTCTCCTCCCCCCCTCCCCTTTTTCCTTCTCTTCCTCCCTTTCTTGCTCCAAAGATATATAGATGGGAGTTTTAAATAGATTCTTTAAATATTTCTATCGAAGATGTATGTAATCACTTCTACTAGCAGCCTGCAAAAATATCCTATTTGATTTTTCTATGATCAAATAGATAAATTATCATAGAATTAAGGCGCTTACAATGATCTAGACAAGTCTCTTCATTTCTTGTCATGAATTTCTTGTATAAGTTAGGTCGTAGCCTTCTTCAACAAAGATACTCTATTCCAAATGTCATCAAGTATAAATAATAAGAGGTTATGTCCTTCCACTTCTATCTTCAATAGACATAAGTCTAGGCCAAATGATACATCTCAAACAAGGCCAATTTACTATGATTAGTATGGTAATGAGCAATCATGGTGAATATGTGGCAAAGTTATGTTAACTTAGCAATTGATATTTGTTATCCAAAAAGATTGATAAATTAGTCATATATAGATTTTGGAAATGTTCATCTACCCACATGGCTTGGCAATGGAGCATCCACATAATGAACATCTTTTTCATCTCTTGCAATGTACATAGCCCCTAGCCTTTGCTCACTTGGAAGCATGTTATCTTTTCCAACTTCATATTGCAAAAGTTCTTCAAATTCAATTGGATTTGGATGGCTCTATGAATTGTCATCCTATAGACTCTTTGAATGGAATGCAACAATGCATCTTGCAATCAAATCCCATGGGTTGTGGTAAAATTACTCCTACAAGTTTGGTTAGGTCTTGTCAACTACGTGCACATGGATTAGGAGTGTATCAAGTTTCGCAGCCTACATTGCCCAAAAAAGAAAGGCTTGTTGGTACAGGACTTCCACTGCAAATGGTGCACTAACAATGTCTTTGCTGTAATGGTTGTAGGCTGCCCTTGGTGGGCCCTAGCGAGGCCTGGCTAAGGTTTTGTGTATCAACTCTTATAACTGCCCCTTCAAACACTACGGTTACCCTCAAACCCCCTATGGGCTTGGTAGACCATCATACATTTCTAACCCTAACCCATCTGATTCCCTCAGGCTGCATACAGCTGAGTGGTTGTAACTTTTCTTCTTGTAATGAAATCTTATTTCATTTGTGTCGAAAAATAAGTAAATAAAGTAGAGCAAAGTAAAACTAAACAGTGTGCATTCAGGGGTGAATAGACGAGCATCCAGGGGGGGGGGGGGCGGAATGGAAAGAAAGCAAAGGGGACATGCGGCTTGTCCTGGCGCGGCGACGCTTGCAGCAGCGTGGCAGTCATTTAGCACGAGCAAAGCAACTGCATCATGCAGCAGGACTCCGCCCCCACCTATTCCACCTCTCGTCCTTCGCTTTCACAGGCCAGCTTTGAGTGTGTAAAAAGGGTGGAATCTGTGCGTGTGGCGATTCCCTGTGGGGGATCCGCCCCTGGTGCTTCCCAGCAGCTGGCCCACGCAGCTGGCCATGAATTATTATATATTATTATTGTTGTTGGTGCTGTTGTGGTTTTCTTTCTGTAGCATTGCATCGGCGCGCTCATTGGTGCACTGCCCTGTTGGGCAGCACCCATAATTGAACGCTGTGATGGGGGTAGCCAGTTCTCCGTCGAGGCGCTTTGGCTTTGGCAGGAATCCGTGCACAACTCGTAGATTTCCAGGGGATCCCCTTAGTCTGCCAAGAGGAGGCTCAGCCTCTTCGTGGCCATCGTCGCCGCGGCCACACCATCGCCACTCTTCGGAGTTCCGCCCACGCTCTACAGCCCACGAAGAAGGGGTAGGGGACCTTCGAGGAAGCTTCTTGCCTGCTCAGGGGTGGGGGGAGCTGGAATACCCCTTTTCACATTGTGTCTAATGGCGTTGACGTGTCCCAGCGGGCAGAGAGAAAAAGATATATCACCTCGAATGGGGACTTGTCACCTGTCATCCTGCCCCTCTGGGAATATTGTTTTTGGGGTCGTAAGTTCGGACCACTTGAAAGGAGTAGTAGGTAGTTGAACAAATATTTTTGAATGTTTGAACTTCTTTATTTCTTCTATTATTTGGTTTTTCTAAAGAAGTAATTGAATTAGGGTCAAGGAGATTCTTGTTGATATTATTATTATTATTATTATTATTCCTTTGATACCATAATGTAGAATAAGTGAGCATGTGAGTGTATGTGTGTTTATATGTATACTCACAAACACGACAACAGTTAAAAGTTCTTGGGGTACAAGTTCTGCTACTTTGCTTGGAACTATGATAAAGTTTTTATTTTTGTTTTATTTTATTTTTCTTCTTCCTCTTTCTCTCACTAGATTCGCACCAATGTAAATTCAAGATCTCCAAGAAAGAAAGACGAAAAAACTGGAAGATATAAAATTACATCCAAAAGTACATATTCTATTAATGCTGAAGTTTTTCTTTATTTTGGTTGACCAAGAATTGGAATTGGATCAAATCATTAAAAAAGAAAATCTTAAGTTCATATTTTTGAAAAGGATTTTTTCCCTAAAATATAACCTTACTGTATTTTATTGGTAACTAAAATATAGTAAAACAGTATTATTAATTTAATAGCTACCATAAGTTATTACTGTTATTATTATAAATAAATAAATTTTAAACAAGTAAGTTTAGTAGAAATACTGGGAGTAGTTGAAGGCTTCTTCCTGAAACATTGTATAACTATGTAGTATCTCTTATAAGTAGAGGTATTTCTAAGAATTATATTATTTAATTATGTTTCAATTCTACATATAGTAGATTGTTTTACTAACTAAAATAAAAGAACATGTAATACAATTTTAATATATATATCAAAAAAAATTGACAAATTTTCATGAATTTAAAATTTTAATTGTATAAAAACATATATATTAATTTACGTACTCTTGCTATTTAATAAGGAAGAAAATAATAATAATAACAAAATTGATAAATTCTTTTGGACTTATTGATTTGTTGTCTTGTAAGTGTTATGTAAATTTAAATTTTTCAAAAGATAAAAAATAAAATTAGCTTAAAACGGTGCATTTAGTGTATATATATATATATATATATATATATATAAATAAACACCCCACAACTTATGAATTACAAGAATTGCAACATCTCCCCAACTTATGAGATTAGAGCTATTCTTCACAAGATCATACTTTTATTTTATTGCTACCTACTAATTCATGGTGCAAACAAGAAAAAAGAAATATGAAAAAAGAAAAAAAGAAAGTAAATTGAATTCACAGAATTCATTTAATTTTAATACTTCCAAAATGATTGTATCAAATGGTAGAGTTTAAATTTTCGGACACACATCGACCCAAAACCATTGCAACGGGGCAAAACACCATCAATGAAGTGACAGCCAAAAAGTAAAAAGTATCGCCAAAAGCTACGTAGTACGTGCTCCCTCGACAATGTTGTCATGATTGTTAACAGGATCTCGATTTCATCGGCAAAGTGTGAAAGTGGTCGTAATATTAATGCGGGCACTGAAGACCGCGAATTCGGTCAGCTCTAAACCCGTGATAATCTAGTGCGGCGAGTCTGGCGTCAGCGTCTATTCTAAGGATTCCTAAAACCGTGAAATCTAGATAAATTGAAGAGTCCTAAAATCTATCACTAAGGGTGCAGTTTCACTAGTCTGTGACGAGTGATGACTGACCTGTGCGGGGCCCTCTCGCGGATGAACCAGTAATGAAATTTTGTAATCTAGAGTCGAGATTGAACGGTTTCGAATGAGGGAAATGAATCTTGACGTGAGGGAGGTGGTGCATCAGGCGCTCGCACAATCTGGGTGGTACACTGCACCCATGTTGCTGACCGCTTCGATCAGGCGGCGAACAGTTCCTTCAGCGACACAGCTTTTGGCGAGGACATTTGGGTGATCTGTACCCGCAACGGCGCGTCCGGTATCGCATTCTGAATTTCAAAGAACTGATGGGCCTGTATATGCCGAATAGCTTGGACATCTTGTACTTCGGGAACCTGATCATCGGGCCAGGTTCTGTTCAACGACCCGCGTGCTCAGCCTGTGGTGAGTTCGTTCGAGAGCTTGCAGGCATCCATGCGTAAGGTTGGGCGGATCCGATGGCTATGTGAGGTAAGTGCGCAGGATCTTGAAGAGCATTTTGGGATGCTTGTGTGTGTGAGAGGCGATCCTTGAGGACGGTATATAGGGAGTTAGTGTTATGGAATGATGGAGACGGCATTGCAAAAAGGAGTGCCATCTTAGAGGCGCACGCTTTGCAAGCAAGGAAAGAGTTTGGGAAAGAGCTCCTTATGCTGCGCACTTTGAAGATACTTTCCGCGCTTTCTTGACATGGCCTTCCACGCCACTGGCAAAATTGACTTTGATTGTTTCCTGTGGCTGGTTTCAGAGCAAGAGCAAAGTTCTTTTAATTCATTCGGTGTGTCTATTATTCTTATTAGTTCGATGATGAGTGTTATGGGCAGATGCATCGAATGTGAGTGCTTTTGGTGTCTTTTTTCTGTGGTCGCTGGATTAGATTTTCTGTAACGAGAGCCCAGTTCCGTTCCTTTTGGGGTGTAAGTAATAGTTGAAGAGGTGTTTTCTCCTGTAATATGAGATGTGGAGAAGTGGCTGAGGGACTAAATTTTTATGGAGTGGGTTCTTGATTCATTATTAAGATCCAAGTAAAAATACATTTTTCCTGTCATTGGTAACTGATTTTCGAATTGACAGGTGCTCATCCATTCAGCTTCCTGATCTTTGGAGCTGTCCCCAACAGCAGACTCGCAGTAGTACCCATTGTGCGGATCATCGCAGTCCTTAGTGAGTGTCTCCTAGTGCCGTTTAGTAAGTATTGTGAAGGAGTACTTTCGTTAGATTGATAAGTACTGACAGATTTCAAGAGTTTTCATGTGAGCAACCTGAAAATTCTAAAACTGATTTTACAAGGCCTCGAGAGGCGTACTAGTCACAATTTTGGAGAGGTGCATAGACTGCGATTCGTTTACAAAAGAATAACATTTCTGGCTTACTCTGGTGTGTTGACTCGACGTTACCATGTACTGTGTGCGTTGTTGTTATTTATCAACCTTTCAAGTTCGTCAAACTTGTAGGATGACTAATTATTCCGAGAGATTTCGAGTTCCGCATACATAAAGTCTTCAGCTACTTGTCGGTGACATAATGCAAGCTTATAGTTGAACGGCCAACTGCTTCTTGATTGCGGGTTCCATTTTGGGAGGCAATAAAGATTGGATACATACTCGCCAATTTAACGGACAAGCGTCTCCGCTCCACGATATCATGCTCCATAAAGAATCACATGTAATGTTGTGAAATTTCAGCAAAGGTAACTGCCTCCTTTGAGTGCATCCAACAACATGCATGATTTGAGCGTTATCATTCAGAAGGGTTTGTTTTCTTACTTGCCAGACGCCTGTGGATTACAATTTAAAATACTGTTGACATCAATTTTAGCTGTCGACATCATGGGTTTCTAGTTTGCAGTCTTGTAAACCCCCCATCTATATACAATGACCCCTGGAGATGGATCCAGCAAAGGTTGCACTTTGCAGGCAATTCATGAACATCACTGAGATTGAGATGCTCTTATGTGAACCTGAATATTACTTCTCGTCATTAAAGTAGACCTTTTTCTATTTCATTTGTTTTGTTCGTTGTTTTAAAAGTATGTGCAAAGGGGTTGAATCCTATTTTATTTTCTAGAGCTCTTCTTACACGAGAGTGTAATCATGTTTGAGGTCACTGGTTGCCATAGCTGTTTTCACAGCACACGTAACTTGAAAATCAATTTCTACATCAGAAGAAGAATGTTACCTATTATCATCTTTTTCCTCATGATGGCAATATAAGAGCATCATCGTGTTAAAAGAAATTGCTCTGTATAACATTCAATTTTGTTCCATGCTGCGGGTCCCTTGCTTTTAGCACTCACCCCGTCAACCGAGCCTCTCCGAAAATAATTCTACCTGTAAAGGCGGAGAGACTTTTATGCTTTTTTTGCCAGGGTTTTATTAGCTTTGACCAAAGGTAGGCCAAGCTCAACCGTAACTGCCGCCAGCATCACAACCAATCGCAAGAAGCCACTAATTGAAAATCCTGCAATGAAAGTGTAATAATAGTCTTCCTAAAGTTTACTTTTATTCTGGGTTTTTGTTACTTCACCAATCGTGTAATAAAAGTCTTACTATACTTCAGTAACAAAACCCCGAATATTATAATATACTAAGCAACTTCTTAATACTGATGATACGCAGGTAATCATACAATCTAATTCATGGAAATCAATCTTCCCAACACCTGATAGTGTAATTTGTAATTCCAGAAGAACATCAGTTCCGCGATCGATGTCGATGCACTATTCCATGCTCGTCGCTTTAATTTGAGACAATTTCTGTTGGGGCTTGTGGCATCCACTGGCAGCTTCAAGTTTCTCATCGTAATTGTAAAGTAGATTTTTGAAGGAATAGAACTTCACGGGTTGCAATTCCAATTCACTCATTAAAGCCGCTTGTATTGCATAAGAAAACTGTGTTGTTGCTACTCTTTCAAAGCAGTATCTCATCTTGTATACTTTGTGGAGAGCACTCGCTTTCGTCTCTAGATTATAATAAAACTACGGCATATTTAGTGTTACATTCTTGAGTACATTTGATCAAAAAATATGTCGAAAATGGGTAGTGCTTCCTTTATTTCGTGTAATGAAGATCTTAGTAAACTTCAGAAACAAAATCCCAGAATATAAAACCATGGATTGAAAAGCCTTCTCTTTACAAATTGGGGTTTTATTTCCAAGTGTCAAACGTCCACTATTAAGTGAAACAACTCATTCCTCAATCCAGGAAACCAGGGTCAAGGCAGAAAACACACCACGTTAACCACCGTTACTGCTCTCGTGGAGATCTGTTTGAATAGTACGGGGCAAGACCGGAATCCACCGCCTTTCTCAAAACTTTACTCGAGACAGTCTGAAGGATCAGCCTTCTCGCACCACTGAATGGCTTTCTCCGACGATCTGACAGCCAACTCTTCAAGCAAGCTCCTCGTGCAATTCTCATTGGCCCTTCTATGCATTATCAACATCTGTACGAAAACAATCAATCAATTCTCCAAGGCTTCCTCAAGGAACTAATTCGAAGTCCAGTAGAATTCTTTGCTGACAAGGCCTCTAGAGCTCCAGGTGATAGAGGGCATGAGGATCATTCGACCATGACTCTGCACATTGACGAGTTCATCGCACCGGTAGTTCAATTTACACCTTGACCTAGGCCTGAGGTAGAATTCATGTCTAAATGTTTTTCTTTTCAATTAGACAGATAGCTAAGTCGCGGTGCCAGATGACGATTGATTTACAGGGGCGAAAATTGCGGAAGTGCCTTGGCAATGGCACCAAAGGTTCGAAGGAAACCTAAAAGTTGTTTGGGGGTCAGAGAAATGAGAAGTCAGTATCAGCGGAAAGCAGCTCGTAGCAATCTGTGTAAATGTCCACGTCGTTCTGGGAGCTACAGATATCCTCGCGCAGGTCTTTCAGGATTTTCCGTCTCCTTGCTTCGGGGAATTCTTCGTGGTTCAATCCCTGCAGTACCGCGAAAACGCTGCGGTCACGGCGGTGGAAATTGATGGATGGAGACTTGGAATCATTCTCCCTTGACCCACCGGGGAGGAGGTTCACAGTCGATGTACTGCTCTCGTGAACCTGGAGATGGGAGGCGACTTTACTGCCTAAAACCGAGCTCTTGTGCACTAAGTAACTCAGGACAATTTCTACATTGAACGGCATCCTGTTCTTGCGAAGCAACGCTACACGCACAATCTCTGTCGCCATTGCCGTGGTCAAGCTGCGGACTGGCCGCATGCCTCCCAGAATCACTCCAGTGCTGATCACCTTTTTGCACTTCTCCTCCACATCTAGTGAATTCCACAATCCCTTCCCGTAGACACTCTCCAGCATGCCAATCGCCGCGGAGCCGTCCATCTCCCTTACATTATTCGTCTCGTTCTTCTTTGATTGGGACTCTATGAATGACCAACTTTTTCCGGTGTGAAACAGATGTAGTCCCATGTCCTTCTTCTTCAGTTGCAAGAAGATGTCCTTGAGGATGACAACGCCGGAAACCTCTGTCAGGAACACATGGCGGTACTTGTGACGTATCATGCCCAGCAAAATTTGGTAGCAAATCCACCGCCGATGGTTTAAAGAGGGCGAGTCGAGGAATGCGGTCAGTGTGTCGTCCGGGTCCAGTTCCTGCACGTCAAATCCTACGACTGCGCCAAAATGTGGGTTAACTCCATCCTCATCCACCTGCTCCTCCTGTACCACCTCGGAATCAGCGGTTTTAGAGCTTGTCTGGTTGTGAACCTTCCCCCAGACAGAATACTTAGTCGCCTTTTCGGAATCCACCACCGATAGTGACTGAAAGTACGCATTGTGGTGGAAGATGCTCAGTTCGGGTTGCCGAATCCCTTCCAGGTCTGTGGGATTACGAGCTTCGGAACTCCTCGGCTGATACTTTGCAAGCAGTCTTTGGAAGTATATTTCCTCTTCGTGGATTACGGCCGCAAATTCCACTGCCAGAGATCTCGACGGGAAAAGAAATATGACGTCCGCTCTGGCAGGCAGCCCGCTGCGGTGTAGTGCTCTGAGAAACACTCTAAGATCTTCAGAAGTGGTTGTTTCGGAGAGATGCGCAACGACCAGCTCGGGCATCCCACGAGTGCCTTTCCTATAGAGTGTTCCCATGCCCTCTAGCGCAGCTCCGGCTGTTTCTGCCTGCACATGTTCTCGCCTCTGTCGACTCGAAACCTCAACATCCTGCTTCGCAAGGAGAGTATGACTTTGGAGCCTGTAGGGGATAGTGGCCAGCACGCGAGAGCCATGTTCAGGCAGCCGCCAGGACTCCTCGGAGATTTTAGAGAGGTCCACTGCGACAAACACGAACAGGACGAGCGTGCATAGAGTCATGCCTACGCACATGATGGCGGACTTCGTTTTGCGCTGTTGAGGCGACTTCATGCGCCCCGAATGACATTTTGTGAGAATCTCATTGTAAGCGAGATCTCCGCCTCCGCTGCCAATGCTGATCACCTCCAGCATGGGCATGCTAGGCGATTTCCGAATCGCCAAACCCCTTCCCGCTGATTCATACATTTACGCAGAATGCTGGTCCCTGAATCCTGTAAATTGAAGAACTAGCTTCCAGCGCAAGACACAGAATTCTAATTCGCCAGCAGACGCTTGGCATTCTCGACGGATGAAGATGCCTCATCCTCAAGATTCATCTCAACCAACCTTAGCTCTCTGATCCAAAATAATCAATATCATTCAGCGGTAACATCTACCCGCCGAGAGTCCAATCCACCAGCTACAAACTCTACAAACCCGACACCCCTAACTACAAACAGCATCACCTCCCACACAAACTCCTGGTCTGAGGTCGACCCACACAACAAAATCTGCACTGCTTACACAGAAGAAGTACCACCAGCAGCAGCGAAATCCTATTAACAACTCAAATTCCACACATCGACACACGAACGACGCCCTTAACACTCAGCACCACCCGACCCAAATAGCGAGCTCCACAAACGGCCAAGAGATGGCGAACAGCAGGCATCAGAAAGCGGCAACCCAGCAGTCACACAAATCAACCTGACAACGGGGCAGATCTTGCTAGTGGCGAGCAGAAAGGATGACTGCACTGGCACGAGATTTGCACGCGCGTGTCCACGCAGCCGAGTTGTCGCCGCAATCAGTCATTCCTCCGTCGTCCGCTCGATCCAACTGCTCCTCTTTTTCGTTCCGTGCCCTGTGACAGCTACGACAAAAAAAAAACAAAAACCAGCACACCCGTGGAAGAGCTGGCTTTCAGTTCGGTGCATGTCGAAGGGAGCATCGGGGCACATCCACCGAGTCCCGCCCATGCTCCAGAAATGCCCCGAGCGGCGAAGTTATTGCAGGATCCCGAATTGGACCGAGCGGCGTTGGCCTCTGTGGCGAGTCGCGCTGACTCGGCTATACCAGCTAGGCCCCACAGCCGCGTGTCCTCCACTCACGGTGCGCTCGCGGCCATCTAACCTGCTTACGTGGCCCCAGAATGCACGGCTACCGCCAACCACCGCATACCCGTGTCCCAACTCCCTTCGCCGCGGTTTATCTGCTTCGTCGAAGCCCACCTTGCCCTTGCGTATGCTCTCCCTATTCGATACTTTTCATTGGTTTTCAATGGTTTTCATGGGAAATGGGAAAAATTGATCTGGGTCAATACGCTCACCATGAATTTGGCTACATTAATGCACCTTTTTGTAATGGGGGATTACTTAGAAAGTTGTATGTAAATAGGTTGAAGTTTGTCTCGGTCCCCTTGACCTTTTTTCATTAAAACCTTCCTTGAATTAAGGAATTTTATTTTACGTAACATCTAGAATGTGGCATTCTCCAAAACAAAGAAACATGTGTTTTTTTGTTCGTTCCTTGTTCTCGAAGAAAAATTCTTGTATCCAACTTTCCCCATTATTATTATTATTTATTTACTTTTTTTTTCTTTATTGTTCTTTATGTTTTAAAAGGTGCTACTTATGTGGAGAATATGGCATGCATGAATGATTTTTTATGAAGAGAACAAATTGGTATTTGATTGTGACTTGAAAAATTTGTTTAAAAATGCATTCAATAAAATATATGTATATATATATATATATGATTAAATATTTACAAATAATTTTGAAAGAAACCTATAAGTCATGTCTAAAGCTATTTGCAAAAATAAAAATGCAAATTAAATATTTAAAGAACCATGAAACTTTAAACAATTATTTTTCTTTATTTTGAGCTAATTAAACTAATTATGATATTTTGTATTCTGTACAATTTCTTTTTCTAGTGAATGAAATTTTTAGTAGATAAAAATATTTAAATAAATATCTTAAGTTAAAAATTATATGTTGATTCAATTATTTTTTTATGATATTATAAGAACTGGTCTGTAATTTTTAATAATTTAAATAAAGATCCTTCTTATAATTTTTTGTGAATAGATTTTTGTATATATATATATATATATATATATATATATATATATAGCAAGCATTTTCTTTTTAATATTTTTCTAAGTTTTTTTTTTATAAATTTTTAGGGCAGTGAATTAAATTACAAATATTCTATTGAAGGCGTTTATAAAAAAATCCGTTTTAAATTATTTGAGTTATTGCTTGCATTGCAATCCATTGAAACTTTAGACAATGAAATGTAATAAAAGATAGAAATTTTGTAAATTATATACATAAAGTACATCAAATCAATGTTATTGTTTTTTGGAATAATAATCCAACAACTTTATAATATAAACCATAAAGATTTTTTTTTTAATCAAAATAGCTAAAAAATATTTCTAAATTATAATGATTATTATTTTTTATAAACGATAATTATGTTACTAGGCTTGAATCAATCTCTATTTTTCTATGGGCCGCACTATTCTGAAGCACTATTTTATTTGGTGTATTTATTCTTCATCTGCCCATGAGCTGCCCCGACCAGCCTTGAGCTGCCCATTAAAGCATTTGGATGAATACTAAATTCATCAATTCATCCGTTCATTTGCTCAGCCCAGGGGTTGTTTCATATTTGCCATCGGGCTTCTCAGGGAACGAAATACTCGTCAATGGATGAATGAACTTCAGTCACTGGCAGTGTGAACGGGACCAGTCCACAAGTGACTCCCACATCGACAGGAGGAAGCTCAGTCTTCCATCCTGGGCCTCGATTTCATCGCGGCAGCTTCGCAAATCCGCCCAGATGGATAAGTAAATTCGGGTTTCACTGTGAGGTGGAGCAGTATTTTGCAATTTGCAGAGGCGAGATTGGTTTGCAATCACACGGCGCTTAGAGAATGTTGTACTCTTTGACCTGGTTCGAAACTGTGTAGTGCAGACCCCAAGTTTCGGCGATTGCGCAAGCCTCTTGCCATCTCCAACTTTAGAGCTTCGGCGTGGGACAATCGGGGCCGAAGGGTCCAGCGAATGGCACACATTGGATTCTGCCGATCGCCCAATCGCCATAAACCCGCCCCTGGCCACACTGGCAAAGCACATCGCGTAAGTTCCATGCGGAACTCTGCTCCTCGTCGCAGAAACTTCGCAAACCCCCTGCATCAGTTCCCAATGATTCTCCTCTTCGCTCTGGTTTCGGGTGCCACCGCCACGGGCTTCGCGACAAAGGACCAGAAGAAAACCTGTTGAAAATGGTGGGCCTGGATTGGAAACCTTTGCAGGTAATGACCACTACTTGTTGCACTTTACTTGGGGTTTTATGGAAGATTTGAGGAGGGATACATCTTTGTATGCAATTCTCTGTTGCTATTCTTCTTCAAGAGTCTCCACCTAAATAGCAATTGAATGGGGCTTCGAGTTCTATTACGTACACTTTGAATTGGTTCCGTCATCATCAAAATCACCACGTGCTCGGCCCCCTAGTCTTCGTCGTCGTTGTTTTCTTGTGTTTTTGAATGTGCTGGCATTTTGTGATTTGCGGCACCTTCTGGTGTTGCCAAGTGGACCTAAAATGCCGCTGCATTGCCTTTTCCAGCTTTGAAGGTCACACCTATTTGTGTGCTCTTATCCTCATATTCGCTGACAGATGGTGGGATATGATTTGCCAAAGCAAGAAGACGTACAACGTTGAGATTCTTTTCTTCGATGGGGTCTGCCCTCGGCATCAGACAAAGCACTATGCTGTTTTCCATGGCTATTTTAAAACTTTATTTTTATTTTTATTTTTATTTTATTTTTGGTTCTACTTTTCCTTCTTTTGAACCTATCCCACAATTGGTGTACACATGAAAGCTGCTTGCATTACCATGTCCATCCTCTGGCGTGTTTGGTATGGGGTTATGAACGACAATCGAGAATTGGTGAATCCACTCTGAACTCTGCGAAGCATGGTGGTGCTGTAAGTGAGCCAGCTCTCAGCTGTTTTTTTCCGCTGTCTGTCAGTGACGAAATAGTGGCGTTTAACCAGTATCCTACAGAGTGGATCAAGGACTATTCGGTAAAGTACAGACAGTGCTTTCAAAGCCTCTGTGATTTTAGAATCAGACGCTAACAGAATCGGTCCACATTCGCACCTCTTATTGCTCCAGGCAAGCATTTGCATTGATGACTAACAACCAAGATATAACAATACTGCATATACAGAAATCGGATCACACCACTATGGGTTTGTGATTGTCCACATACACAGCCTCAGAGCTGGCACACAACAAACAGGCTTCTAAGTTGTAATTGCACTGACAAGTCCACGAAGCAGTAGAAACTGGGATGAATGCGTGTGGTCTTTTGAAAGATACAGCTTTACGACATCAATCACGCTCATCTAATGTTTAAGGAACGAGCAAGAGGAGTACTTTGTATTGTAGATGTAGCAGCAATGGTGAGGAAAAGACACTGCTGTGAGGACAGGAATCATCACTTCTCCCGTCGTATCTAATCTTCAGATTTACATGCTCCCACTATCAAGTGCAGACCAGCTTCTCTTCAGGCAGGAAATTGACTTGTGAAGAGAACTAACTCTCGTCATTGGAATCAGAATCACGAAGAGCTCTGAAATAACAACACATAGTTTTTCAGAGTGGGCATCCTAGTTGCGCTGTGAATTAAATCTGAAGCCTTAAGGTGCACATCCACTGATCCGGTTTGCAGATGCGATTTCTGGATCATCACTTCCATAAGCGATTGATAGTCACCACTTAAAGGTTTTCACAAGCCAGTTCATCAGAGGTCCTCAAAATCAAGCTCAAATGCAGTAAGTACGTTCCAAACAATGTCGGATTCACAATTAGTGTTTCAGGGGGCTACATTAGAGTAGCACAGCAACAAATCCAATCTAATTCCAATGCGAAAAAATGACATTCACCTCATGTTACACTCAAAATTACGTGTAGAAACTGTTTCGGTACCATGATTCCGACGAAACTCACATCCACAGCATAGCTATCTGAAGTAAAAATAAGGGGAGTAAGTGGCAGCAGATACAACTGTATTTTGCTCTATTAAGGACCAAGAACACAAGTGTCCTGTGCTTTTCGATCCATCCAAATCGGACATGCCAACATCATTGACTTCTGTAAATTCAAACGGAAATTTCATACTACCTCTAAACTCGGAGACTCAATTTGATGAGCACTATTCACTCATGTGCATCCTCCAGGGTCTGCGGTACCGTGTCTTCTCTCCTTTTTCACTCGAGTTTCCTTAGGGTCGAAACCTCCCTCAACAGCCCCATAAACTGACCAGCTAGGTGTTTCAGCCATGTAATCTTCACTGCCAAAGGGCTTGCCAGATGCAACCTGCAAACCACAAAAATCACAAGTTTCAACCAATACAACATCACACATAATTCAAACGAAAACTGAGCTTTACGTGAAAAGAACCTGTGCAGAGATCGTTAGACTGCCCTACTTGTCCCCCTACTTGCGGGCGTAGAGTGCTCACCAGATCCTGAAACTTCTCATAGTCAATCCAGGTATGCCACTTCCCGTTCACTTTGAATTTGGAAGTTTTAGCAAGCAGGACGCAACATGAATGTGAGTGTTCACAAGCCAACTCGTACTCTGCACCCCCTCTTTCAGCTGCGATTGCCTCCGCAAAAGCTTTAACGTCCTCATGCCAGGGAACATTCTCCATTGTCAAGGAAGAGGTTGCAGTCCTGGAAATACAGATTAGAGGATATTAGATACAATGTTTTGCATATCTATCTAGATGAAAAAGCCCAACGCACAAAGTAAATGCAGGAGGGATTCAAGCTGTTGAGATATTCGCGGTATTCAATGATTAAATGCCACGTATGGGCTGAGAATATCAGAAAACGTACGATCCACAGTAGGTAACACCCTTAATCTCAATAAAATCGGGTTGTCCCAAGTCCAGCAGCTCAGCATAAGCCTTCACTTCCTCAGTATTCCATCCTTTCACAAGTGTCAAACGGTAGACAGTCCGCTGGCCCTTGTCCTCAAGGGCTTTCAATGAATCCTGAAAATGCATAAATTTATGTGTTAATCCGAAACATTCAAAATGGCCCAGTATATGAGGAAAAATATTAACCAAGAGACTTCGCATAGATTAAATAACGTTACCAAGTGAAGGAACAAATAAGGTTGCAGATAATAAAAACGCATTCGTATGACTGGCACCCGATGTACAGCCCAAGAGCATACATGCGCCACGAGAGCAGAGGATACTTACAATGAACCTCTCCCAGAAGTCAGAGAAAAGGGGCCTGTCAATTGCCTTGAGTTTCTCCTTAGTTGCTGCATCAACACTTACATAGAGCTGCACACATTCAACTCATGACGTAAGACAAGTCCATCTTAAATCTTCGAAGTTCAAATGTCTCATATAGACTGGCAATAGTTATCATCAAAAGACCAAAAAACGAATCCTCCTCTGTTGTTCTCCGTACTTTTCTTTCTGATTATCCTTCACTACCTGAGTGATGGGTTCAAGGTTTGTAATGCGTTCTGGGAACTGTGCATTTGTAACCAAGAAAGTTGAGATTCGCCGCTTATGTAGCTCATTCACTAACGTGTTGATTTCAGGGTACATGATTGGTTCCCCCACAAGTGACAGTGCACAATGCCTTGGGTTCATCCCTTCAGCTAAGCGCTCAGGCTTCACTCCTGCAAAAGACACCAGGAGATATCATCCACATCGTGTAAGAATGCTGGATAGACATTTCATGCTAACCAAGACTAAGAACTGATAATTTCTGGATTATGTTACTTATACAACTCTTCAATTCAATAAAACTATCCAGACATAATAACCATTGACTACTCAGTAACTCATAATATTTATTAAAAGAATTGAAGATAACAAAATTACCAGGTACACCCTTCATTTGCTTGATCATCTTCGTATGCTGCTCCAAAGCACCATTGACAATATCAACAGGGTCATCCATTTGCCACCTCCATGATTTGCCAACAGGATTGGTGTGATGTCTCCAACAAAACACGCACTTATTAGCACATGCTAAACTGGGGGTTGTCTCCATGCACCTGTCATCAGAAAACCCACAAAATACTCAGTAAGGAATGTATCAACTACGAAAGTTATCAGTCAATCAATCACAATATTGAAATTTGAAGCATTTACAAAGCTCGAAAGAAGCACTAGCTTTTTATGTTAGCATACCCATAACTCACGAGCTCAATGTTTCCAGAACTAAAGCTTACCGGTGGCTCTCAATGCCATAAAATGAATGCTTGTAGCATCCACCACGACCTCGAAGCTGAGACTTAGTCCAACGGCAAAGCTTCACTCCACTATGCGAGCCAAGTATTTTATAACCCTTCATGATGCGTTCAATGTACGCATAAGTAAAAACTCACGATGGTGGGAACAAAAAAATTCCATCATAAAAATGTTACGTTTTGAGGAAAGATATCAAGAAAAGAAAGAGAAAAGAGCAAGGTGAAATGCAGTAAATACCTGTTTCTCTAGGCTGGCTCGAAGCACAGGTGTGACCATCTCTTTCGGCCCATCTTTGAGCACTTTAGCTAATGGCGTAGGTTGCTTCTTAGGAGGCTGCCTCCTCACCACACCTCGCTTCTGGCTCGCTTCAAGAGGCTCAGACATGCCACGTTGACCACCCATGTCTTCCAGATCAACAACGCCATCTGAAAAATTGCCACTCTCATCGGCATCCTCAAATGTTTCGCTATCTTCATCACTATCCTCGTCGGATCCTTGAGTAGCACTCAAATAGCCGTCAAATTTAGAACTTTCTTCAGCTTCATTAGTTGCTAACGGTTCAGCTGCAGATTCATGGGAAAGCCGTCGAGGATCAGCTCTTTCCAATTTTTCAAGTAACGCCTTCGACCAATCATCAAACTCTTGGTCAACTGTGCCTTCATCAACATCGCCTTCACCTCTCAATGCCATCCGAAGCCCACCGAGAGATGCAAGGTGGGCGTCAAAAGCCCTAGCGACTGCATTGAAATTGGCACCATAAGCTTGACTTCCTACTCCGAACACACAAAACCTGCAAGACAGATAGTTGTCACAATTTGTCAAAAGCTTATTCTCATTGATATCATGCATTGTCATAATTCGGTGACCAATTCGTAGTTTTCTATGAACAGATTCTGTAAGGAAGTGATATCATGCATTGTCATAACTGTTCATTGCATTCAGAAAAGGATATGCACGGCTTCAGAATTTTAGACTGCGAGGCAGCAACTCAGGACATGAACACAAATTGAGATACTGACCTGCATTCGCGGAGAATGCCAGACCCCACTCGGAAATCTTCTGAACTCTCCTCAAGCCATTGAGCAAGAAATGCAGCATTCTTTGGAGCTTTACCATCCTCCCAAGTTGAAGCAACGACAATAACAAGCTTCTCTTTAGGAAGATCTTCAGGTTCATAACTAGCTGGATCTACTAGATCGACCGGCAGACTTTTGTCATTAAATTTTTTGAGAAGCCTTTCAGCAAGCCTTTTGGTGGTGCCACTCTCGGATGCAAAAAAGATTTTTCCACGTACACCATCCTCGCTCAATGCGAAAGGTGACACTCCAGTAGCGGGATGCACTTGGTGCAGTGCAACTTCATGACTTTTTGAGCACGCTTGCGACTTCTCCGACCCATCGGTGCAGGTACCGCAAATACGACTACAAGAACCGCCGCTGGCATTAGCTGCAAGGTCACTGCCATCGCCACATCTCTTATCCCCTGCGTCAGCAATGTCACTGCAACCACACTTCGAACCATTTACACCAATTCCCCAAAGCCCACCTGCATCTTCAATAAAATTCCCACCACCGACATTATCACCCCCACCACATTTCTGATCTCCTTCCTTAGCAGCAACAGTACAAACAGCCTTAGCCTCGTCACTGCAGCCGCACTTTGCAGCGTCTCCTTCAAGCCCCCATATCCCGCCTTCGTCCTCTATGAAATTACCTGACCTCTGCTTATACAGCGTCGGAGCCTCTCCGTTAACACCTCCTTTCTTGACAATGTCCAGGGCACTAGTTTGTGCTACCAAATTCTGCAATTCAGGTTCTCTCAAGTTACTGCAATATCCGAGTTACGAAATCTACTAAATTCAAAAACCCCACTCAAATTCTGCCCCAACACCAGCTGCATTCCCCTCCAATCCGCTTCGTGTGCAACGACTAACACAGGCTCTGACCCCAAAGCCCAGAACACAGGCTCTGGCCCCTAAGATTAAAACCGCAAAAAACAAGCCCTGACATGAACTCACCTCCGCAGTATCTCCATCGCGAGTTTCCCCAACTAGGGAATTAGTAGAAGGCATCGCGGCAGACGTTGATCACCATACAAAGAGCTGAAACCCACCGCAAACCCCAAACAAACCCTAAACACTCCACCTCCCTCCCCAGAATAAACAGACCCTGCACCGATAACTTCAGGTCGGGGAATCATAGATCAAGCACTCCATCACGCCATCGTTCAAGTCATCTGGGTCAAACATGCACACATCTGCCTGCCAGCCGCTGCAAAACCGAGCAAAATTGAACTATTCTGATTAAAATCAGAAAAGGATGATTGTCGACAAAGTTATTCGTCCGGTGCCTTCGGTAGCACAAAGATTCTCGATTGGGTCAACTTAACCGCTCTTCGTGGATAGAATATTCTAAATATTCAGATGTAAGAGTACATCAAAACATTCGTCCAATTAGGGTTCGATGCTTCAGCTCTGAGTCATGACTGCTCGCCGAGAAAGATGCTTTCGGATTCTCTCGATTGCCAAATGCGAAGCTGCAGAGTTGAGAAGAAGATTTTGAGATTGGATCTTTGAACTTTTAGATTCAGCATGTGCCGCGAAGTTGGAGGATACATGGGGTCCTCTTCTAAGTCCGGACTGGTTTCTCTACGGCAACACTTCCTCTCAAAGCTTCGTCTCGCCAGATCACTCCTTGGTAATGGTCGTGTAGATTATAAATTGGATGGGCATAGAGTGCTGTTCAAATGCACGGAGACCTGTGCCGTTTCCTAGCATTCGAATGTCTTCACGTGCCGCTCTAATTTGATCGTTATCAATTTTCTTGTTTCTTAGGGCTACTATTTGCCGCAACCAGCCCCGTGAAATGCTCGCGCACCTGATCCGATATACTGCGTTGTTTTCACAGATTGTTGGCAGCTTTGCTGTTGGGCATGCAATGCGATGAAGGGCGTGGATTTCTGATGCAACTCGAGGTTTCTTGGTGTTAGTGGGGTGGATGTTGAGAAGATGGTATATGGCCATGGTAGACAGAACATGCTTCGAAGACAAGAACCAGATATTCTCTTGTTGAATATACTTAGACTGGTTTTGCAAGAACGGTGAATTAGGTCTATGGTTATGTTTCGAACGGAACTATGCGGGAGAGCGGTGATCTCTGCAGCACTAGAAGAGTGAGGAGTGTAGAGATGTGATGCCGCAGGTTTTCAAGTCCCGGCCACCTCCGGGAAGCAGCAGAAGTAGGAAACGCAAGTTATTGCAAGGGGAGCCAGCTAGAAGTGATGCAGAACCGGCGAATTCCACTGCACAGTCGGAGCTATGGGTGGAGAGGCATGCGCCGAAGACGGTAACCGACCTAGTTGTGCATGGCAAGAAGGTTGGCGATGTCCACAAGTGGTTGAAATCCCGGTTGCACGACCCTGGCTGGCGTGTACCTGGAGGCCAATTGCTACTCCTGACGGGACCGCCAGGAGTTGGGAAGTCGACTACCATTCGTGTGCTTGGTAAATCATTAGGCCTGGAATTTTTCGAGTGGAAGACGCCTACGCCCACCCAATGGCAGGAACATGTCCACCATGGCTTTACAGGACATCGATATACTTCGAAGCTGGATGAGTTTGAGGCATTTGTGGAGAATGCTCGAAAGTTTCCAGTGCTTCCTGTGGAGTCTAATATGGACTCGCCGAGGAAGGTGAAGGCGCTGTTAATAGAGGATCTGCCACAGGTCAACGATGCTGCTCAGACGCAGCAGTTGTGCAATCTACTGCTAGCCCTTGTGCGGTCAGTTTGCTTCATTACTGTGGTTATTATGACTGACGTTGTGGAAGATGGTGGAGGGAGAAATACGAGGTTATGGAAACATCGAGAGGTGCAGCAGACGTTGGAAGGGGCGGGTGCTACCAAGGTCAGTGTAGCAGCTTACATTCCATTCCAATGTAGTGCTTCCTTTACTATTCTTTGTGGTTGTATGCATCGCCCTTGTAGTGCTCTGTGGTTTTAGGTGTTGGTTACAAATTTTATTTTGGAGGGTTGGAGTTCTCTTGTTTCTTGCATTGTTGATTGACTGGCAAAACTGGTCGGTTTTCAGATTGTTTTCAATCCTGTAACAGCAAATTCCATCAAGAGGTTACTCACCAAGATTGCGGCTACTGAAAAGTGCCGTTTATCAGGGGATTACATCTCTGCCATTGCTGAGAATTGTGGTGGTGACCTTCGACATGCCATCTCCGCACTCCAATTTCAATGTACAGGGCACTGTTTGAATTCTCGTAATGTGAAGGACATAGGAGCTTTCGAGTTTGGTAGTGCAAGGAATTCTGTGTTAGAAGATACTGTAGTAAGGGTTGCAGAATTTGAGAGTGGGACAAGTTCATCTCCCACATATGGCCGCGACAATATATTTTCCCTCTTTCACGCCCTCGGCAAATTTCTCCACAACAAGAGGCACACGGATCAAAGCCTGGAAGCAACACAAGAATCTTTGTTGGTTTTATGCGAGGATTACAAAAGACATCCTTTGAACATGGAGGTACCGGAGAGGATACTCTCAGAGGCGCAGATTGAGTTTCCTTCTCTTGTGGCGTTTCTTCATGAGAACGTGCTGGATTTTGTTGATGAAGATGCCATAGATGATGTGGCAGTCATTCTAGCGTATCTCGGCGATGCTGATACTCTATTAAGCAGGCACTTCAAAGGCTCCTCCCACTCGCCTTCCTTGAACGATATAACCCCATCGCATGTGGCTTCTTTGGCAGCAGGATCCGTGGCTGCTCGTGGTGTTTTGTTTGCCAATACTCACCCTGCCCCGCGCAAGTGGCAATCTGTTAGGGCTCCAACTCTATGGCAGGTTGAGCGGCTTTTGTCAGAGAAGAAGGTATTTTAGCTTACTGTTGTTTTCTGCATTGTGTCGCTAATTTTTATCACTTCCTGTTCTTTTTGTAAATTGTTTAGGGCTTCAGGTTTATGGTTGGCAGTGAATCTTGTCTCCCAGTGTTGTTTCTAAGTCACTACCTAACATACTGGTCTAAACTTTTGATGGTGTGATTATCTAGGATCCAAAGTCACGATTGAATGCGGCTCAAATGACAGGCGGAGCACCGCCGGTCCAACTTTCTTGGCATGAACCATCAGGAAGCGCTCCAGATTTTCTTCCCTCAGAGTCTGAAGACGAACCTATGGACGACATTGTACGCTTGACTGCGGATTGTATAGTAGACCTTGACAGCCTTGAAGACTTAGACTTACCTTTTTCCAACACTCAAGCGCAGATGGTCCATGTTAATAGAGGACCTGTGGACAGCTTGCCAGAAGAAGAATATATGGAAGATGAGGACGTCATAGAGGACGATGATGATTAGAACAATGCTAGGTGAGGATTCGCGTTCAGATTGGGGTTTATCCCCTTCTTCAGAGGTTATGAATTAGAAGAGAGGTTATCTTCTAAGAAGCTCTGTTATGTGACATGGTTTTCGGCAATTCCATCTGAGCAATCCTTATATCTTCCTTTGGAGCGCTAATAGCATGATTCGATCTTCGATTATGTCTGTTTTATCCACTATACATCCGAAGACTTGTGGACTTTACACGTATCTTTTAATCCTTCTAGAAAAATGTGCCGCAGCTGCAACAGAGATGAGCTTTTCTGCCAAATGTTCAACAGTGTAATTAGCAAGTCCTAAACTGCAAACAGCATAGTAAGGGTACAGTATTATTGTTACTACAATCAATGATACTTCAGAAATTTAATTTGGAAGCGGCTTCAATGCGGTTTGCAACTAGTTTTGATGCTCAAATCCATGTAACTTGTGGGTTACATTTTTCATAACTTGGTGGCGAAATTGCCTGACATATCCTTCAACTAGTGTAAGTGGCCTTGAAATATCCTGACATTAAACAAGTGCCTATCGTGATGGAGACCGCGCAAATTCTCAGTTTTCGATGCAGTTCTGATTCATAATGCTCCACAACCATTCTCAGCTCCTTCTTGTAGTAAAAAATGAATCAACCATCTGAGGGAGCAGCAAAAAGTGTCAAGCTCGTGCCTTCTTATTAATAAAAAGGCAGGATATACATTGATGCTCTCTAAGGGAGACATTACCTCCCTCGACTTACAACTGTAACAGACGTGGCGATGCGTTCAGCATTGCATTCGGCGGAACAAGCCCCATAACCCCCAATTTCTAGTATGATACATTAGAATTGATTTCAGTGCTCGTTAATATTATGAGGAGCTGTCCTCGGGCTTCGAAGGAGTGACGCTCTCTGTTCTCCGAGGCTCTTCCAACTTGACATCATTTTCTTGAGCTTCGCCTGAATCTTTTTTCACTTCTGTCTCAAATTCCTTTGCAGCCTGAAATATCGCCACCCCGTAAGAAGGTAGACGAGTAATACAGAGTCCAAACCTCTAAACTCTCCGTTATACATACACATAGAACGCAGTTTGCAGGTGTAAATCTGATGCCTACCTGCTGGAAGCTCGTCACAGTCTGGCCCAATTTCTTTCCAATTTGCGGAAGCTGCTTTGGGCCAAATAGAAGAGCAGCCACCCCTGCAATTACAGCAAGCTCAGGCACTCCAAGGCCAAACAGCCCACGCACAACGAAGGATGGCTGTGTCCGTCTCGTGGCAATTCTGGGTCTAGACTCCACATTTAAAGCGCTCCTTCCTTCACTGAAGGCAGTACTGGAGCATGACGCATGGACCTCTGCAGAAAAACAAAAACAAAAAAAACAACAACATTTCAAAAACCAGTCACATACATTCAAGGTGTCCCTCTCGTGCATTCGAGCAGTTCAAGAGGCAGATTTTACTGCGATCCACCTATAATTAGAAGTTTCAGGGTTTAAAATAAACACCTGGAGAACTCTATCTGATCAAAGATTCTGAGGCTCTTTTCTACAGCATTCCTCCTCTAAAAATTACTCCTATCACAGCTTGTTCAGCTCAAGAGGTCCCTCAACGTCACCTAGATTTGCATTGAGCATTCCGTAAGTCGCTAAAAGAAAAGACAATTTTCCCACTCTCGGAAACCACTAGAGGCAAGGAAATCATCAGATCTCCTTCCGAGGAGAAGCACAGTCCTTCCAAGTCACCCTTCGTTCCACAATCCAATTGAACTCGTGTTCAAACCTACTCCCCTCATTACAGGAAAAGAATCGACAAACTAAAATTGGACTCCAGAGCTCAGAACAGAAACAAACAGGTGAGGATGTCCTATACCTGATGCAAAGAAGGCTGAGGGACGCGTTGAGGGCCTCCGGGGAGCCGCAGTGGCGACGGTGCTCTGGCTGGGAGCGAGGGCCCCGTAACCCTGACACGCTGCCAACGCCATCGCTCTCAGTCTAAAACAAACCCTCGACCAGGTCACGAAACCGCGCGCGACAAGAGCTTCGCAAACAGAAATCGGTGACTAAAGCAGAACTGGAGCTACGCGATTCGAATTGTGTGAGATCCAGCTCCGACACAACGGCCACGACGACGGGGAGAGTGTGGATCAGTTCGTGCTTTCCGGATAAGATAAGCCGCGCTTTTCATCCTCTTCCATCTGACTGCTGATTGATGAATATGTGGATGAACCAGTGGATGAGGAGAATCATTCATCCACCTGTGACCCGGTCAGTCGGTGGCTGTGGCCTTCTGCCACCCTCCTGCTGTTCAATGGGTTGCTTGAGTTTTTTTAAACTAGTGAATCGGTTGACGAATTTTATTGAAAATTACCAATGAAGTTTAGAAAACATTTAAAAAATTATTTCTAAATTAAAATATTAAAAATTTTAAAATATAATTTATGTTGCTATTTGTTCATTACATGATGTGACATTTAAAAAGTGAATTTTTCTCAAATGATATCTATAGTATAAGAAAACTTGGGTACAACACAAAAAGACAAAGAAGTCTTCTAATTAGTCATGAAAAAGGGAACAAGGAAACCAAAGAAACCAAGGAACATGGGAACAAGGGAGCATGAATGAACAAGGAAATGGATGGATGTGCCAGAGATTGTAGTGTTCAACATCACAAAATTTTGCTAGTATACATATATATATATATATATATACACACACTCTTTCAAAATAGCATAGTCTATGAGTTGATTGTAATTGCACTTTCCTCACTACAAGCTTTATGAAGCATTGTAGGTTTTGAATAAGATTTTGTATTTGCATTTATGCAACAAATTTGCACATGGAAGTTGGGGCAACATTAATTTGTTGAGAAGTTTTAAAAAAAAACAAAAAAACAAAAAAAACAAAAAACAAAAAACAACAACAACAACACATATTTCATGATGAAAATTCATTATAGTTATAATTTTTGACATAACCACAAATGAATCTTAACTTTTTCTATACATAAATAGAAAAAATGAGAATATGAAACAAGATATTTACAATACATGGACAATTGAATGGATATGATGCACCTATTAATATTATGAAAAAATGCCTTTTTCTGAAAATTAAGTATCTGTTAAAATCTGTTAAAAATATGTATACTGTCATCTTTTAACAATTTGTGATACAAACTTGTGTTTACAAGGTAATAGGTATAAAGCAATTCTCAGAGTTTATGTTTGTACAATATTTTTGTGATGTTCTTTTTTTTTTTTTTTTTTTTTTTTAAAGTATGTTCCAAAATTATGTGTTCTATTTTAACTTTTAACAACAAGAATACAAGTTTTTAAATTACATAATTTACTTAACCAATATATAATGCATTCTCTTCTTGACAACCTCTATGAATTAGATTCAATTTATTATACCATAAAATTGTATCCTTAGATATATTTGTTGTGAATTTAATGTAATTTACATGTAGATAAGCAAGATGTGCATTTAAAGTGAAAATTCAAAGCTCATGTTTTAAGGTCATGTACACAGCTTAAACTTTATATGTGTGCTTATATTTGAACTCGAAATCAATTCTACATAAATTTGTTTTGAAATAATGTACAAACTTCTTTACAATCAATTACAAAATACTGAAAAAATTCCTATCCATACATGTTTGGTTAATAGTACTTATTCATGCAATACATTCTGTTGTGTGACACAATTGTCAAATTAGAAGTAGATGTGCAAGTACAAAAATTCATAGTTTTGACACAATATTTAAAATCAAAAGTACCATAGTGCATACAAATTACCACTAGAGATGAAACTATTATACAAATATACGAACATACATACATAAATACATGCACATAAATAATTATATTATTATTGTATTGATATGTTAAATAGAAAATAAAAAGTATATATATAAATATATATACATATAATACATTAAATTACAATTGTATATAATTTATACACATACATACATACATACATACATAAGTGTAGCAAAAAATAAACTGATTATTATTATTGCTATTGATGGTGAAATGTTTTGAGAGCATGAATACCACATAAAAGACAAAACAATTGTAAAGAAAATGGTAGATTGACGCAACAGGAGGTGGGCATTGTGTACCTGAAAGCAGCGCACATGCAGAAGAATCTTTGGACGCTAAGATTCGTTTCGCCTGATGCACCGAATTTCAAAGGGGACACGTCCAAGATCCGCCGTGATTTTCATGTGGTTTTCACTGTGAAACGGCCAGTTGAGCTGTATAACCGTCAGGAGCAGACCCCTCAGTCCCTTGCTGATCTGGCGCATGCCACGTAGGAAAATTGCTTATGTGGAACCAGGCTCGCGCCATTCTGGCCCCTCCCTATCTCCTCCAGTCCACCCCGTAGCCTCCTCCACGGCCGCCGCTGCTTCTCCTTCATTCCCATTTTGCTCATGCCACAGAAGCCTCCCATTTCTTCTGGTTTTTGTTACCATTGTCGCCGTAAGAATTGCCGTAGACAGAGGCAAATCCTTGATTAGGCCTTGAACCATAGAGAATTGCAGATTGTATACCGGCAGACATTGTGCAGATCTCAATTGAAGAAGAATTCACGATGTCGTGGGGTTTCACTCTTTAACCTCTTTTTGAGGAGGAGTGGTTCTGAGAGCGATGGCTGCATTGAACATCAATCGGCGCTCTTTCTGAGCGCATTTCATATTTTTCGGAACCTAGTTCTCGTGAGATATGGAGTAGGGCTGCAGGCATTTTTTAGCCACACCTGTTTCGCAAGGGGAGTTGGTATGTTGTTGCAGTTCAGAAATAGGCCCACTCTTTCGCGAGAGTAAGGCTGAACACAACTGTGCTAGTGATTAATTACTCGTATGACATACAGCTGTAGGAACATGGTGTTGAGAGACGACAGACCTGTGCAAGGACTTTAGGAACAAGGGAGTGGCACATTGAGCGTCGTGACGTCGTGAATGAGGTCATGCGAGTTGTGTGATGTGACAGAGTGGTCATGATCTTATGAAATACAATTCCAATGAAGTTAAGTTTGTGTTAAAGTTATCAAATGAAGCTGAGCTGTAGATGTTATTCGTAGACTTGCTCCTCAACTAGCTTGCAAGGAACCTCACGTTCTTACGATTGTTAAAAAAATATGATATCAAGGATCTCCAACATCGAAGTGATTGTTTCAATTTCGACCAGTATCAGAGCATACTTGATAATCTTCTCCAAGTCGGAAAAAAAGACGGATCAAAGATGTAGCATGTTTAAGTTTGGGCATTTGGAGTCGGAATCTGGTAAGCTGATCTTAACTGTTATTTCACATTCAAGTGTCTCGGGTTGTTTCTTAGTGGTTACAAAATGATTACATTCGTTAAATAGAAAGAGAGCTGCAAAATCTTACACCCTTATCGTATGAAACGAATTGGACGTGAAGGTTGTTTAATGCTTCCAGTCTATCAGTGAAGTAAAATCATAAGAAGGGTAACGTTGAGCAACAATTGGCAATGATTATTTAGGTTCATAAAACTCCATCTCTCATTTTTCTCCATGTGTCATAACTATAATTACAGGGGGAGAAGAGTCCATAAGCTCAAGCCCTCAGCAAAACCAAACTAAGATTGAGGCTTCTAACACTCAACATTGACACAGACTTGTGCTTTACCTGCCGTGACTACATTGAGTTCTCTCCAATAAGCGCTAACCACATACATCTTCATGTGTCCTTGTGGTAGACAATCATTCCAGCTCACTACGAAATCCAGCACTTTGAAATAACAATTCTGGTGTACCCTGGCAGATTCATGGCTGAAAAGGAAGTGCGAGAAGTCCAGTCTCTGAATTTATATTTGCACATTGCTGTTGTCAAGGAAAGAAATGGAAAGCTTAAGGATTGTGGACAGTCTCCAACCACAAGAAAGTAGAAGCATGTGACCAGACTGTCGTTGAATCCAGTAGAACCTTCACCACTGACACATAGATCTGCAATTTGTTGCATGACGTCTTCGGGATCTAAATTCAAATTTTCCGTCTACGATTTCTTCCGAAGTGATGCTTGAAGCCTCAGAAATTGTGAAGATCGATAATTCCGCTCCAAAGCAGTGGCCACCACGCTGGGATGTAACCATGACTGAAACCAACACCGTCGAAGTGTCTGCTGCTGCAAAACCTAACTCCTTGATTCAACTGCCGAAGAAAGACTCGATTACACAGCTTGCAGATACAAAAACTTCACCTTCGCATGCTCAGACAGCTGGAATGGAAGTGAGCAGGCTCCCATGCGCGGAGGGGGCTCACAACCCTAAACCAGGTATGAAATATCAAAGACTTTCGTACTGCTGAACATAGTGTTGACGAGTGTCTGAGGGCGTGATTCGCAATCATAGATTGCAAATCAGAGTTATAAATTGTGGAGTAGATGCAGATGTCCTGTCGAGAAGCTGTGATGCACTTGCATTGACAAGGACAGCACTTCAGAGAGCTGTTAACGATGATTGCTAACCGATTGCAATATCCAACGCTGTGGTATTGAGCAAAATTTTATCAAGTATACTGAGAAAGAAGCCATCGGAGCTATCCAATTTACAGCCTTAGTTTGCAATAGTGTTCGCAATAAACCTTATTCACTAGTAGCTCTAAAGTTCGCACAATGTTCGGAGAATTGAAGGTTAGGACGTACTATTCAGGTGACGTCACGATATATCGCCCAACTCCAAGACGCGGAGATACATCGCACCTGAGAGAAGCAGCAGGACTTTCAGAAATTCGTCCCGGCATTCCAGGCAGCGCTGCTTTGAAAGCTTTGACATCGAGTGTGGTCAAAGTAAGAACCTCAGACGAAAACTGCACTCCTTCAGGGAATTCAAATTTTAATAACCATCAGATCGACTCAAGAGATTTGGTTAGGGGTGTTCTGAGGAGCTCATCGGATGTTTCAATCGATACAGTGGAAAACAACATGGCGAATACTACCAAGACAGATATTGATCAAGCAGAAGAACTAATTGGAAGGATCCCGAACCATAATGACAATGTCAGGCCTTGGCAACGCAGCTCAAACGGGGAGGGCTATAGTGAAAAAAGCTCAAGGTCGGAGGTTAGGAGATTTGGCTACCATGAACGGGGAATTTCAGCACAAGGCCTAGGCGTGCTTGAATGGAAAGGGGGGTTTTTGAATGGGAATAAGGGGTTAGATGAGTCACTTGAGAGATTGGATGCGTCTGGAAGTAACAGATCACGGAAGAGGATAGACAATCAGCCAGCATCGGCGCCGGTACGAAGCGCATCTGCAAAGGTGGTGAATAGCACGCCTCCTGCATCGCTGGGAATGCAGCAAGGAGCGAAGGAGAATTGTGAGCCTTTCCGACTGCAGATGCAGCCGGTGAGAGAGAAAGCGGATAGCACAAGAATGAGAGTTTTGGAAGAGGAAAACATTGAGCATAGTCTGCAACAGCGACTAGAGAACGAAATAGATGTGGATGGAGACGACATCTGGCTCAATAAGAGAAAAGTTTGTGTTAAGGGCGATGAACAAGAGAAATCACATAACGGCCACACATTCGATGGATTGTCGTCTCCTTTTCATGCATATGAGCATGAAAGCTTTATTGAGCGAACTTCGCTAGAGTCTCTTAATAGAACCATGACCAGACTCATGAATGGAGACTCACCACCTCAAGAGACCGGTACGAGCCATACTTGGTCAAATAGAAAGAAACCAATGTTTACTAGTGCATCGAATTCAGACTCTTCGACTTCTCAGTCTTCTCTTCCTCTCTCTCATTACATTCAGAGGCTGAGAGACGCTCGACGCAAGAAATTGACTGAAAGTGGCAGGAATCTGCACCAATTTGAGGCCGTAGAGCTCAAAGTTGATGGTGCTATAAAGGATGCTGGGTTGTCGTTGAAGGCGGAATGCCGTGATCGGCAAGAACCGTGTAAGTCAGCATCATCATCCGGATTATCCTTGGCAATCTTGCCACCCACTAGCTCTACCAACGGTATTCTTAAAGAAAAATATCGTTCGTTGCCACCCACCCACTTTGGCAACAGGTTGAAGTCACAATTGTACCCTTCCCTTGTCCATTCACAAATGTGGAACAGGATAACACAGTCTGACTCTGGTCCAGCCACTCCGATTCAGACGAGTCCAGGCAGTCAGCACCTTGCTGCCATTTCAGGCAGCGGCGTCATGATTGAAGCCATCCATCTTCAAGATGGAGAGCAGTTGAATCAGCAGAGTCTACGTTGTTCACATGATGAGTTGGGCACCGGACCTCTGTGCCGCAACAATTGCGAGGTAACGGACTTCTAAACCCAATTAATTTCACAGTTTTCTCGAACAACTGTACCGAGATACCTGAAAATTATCTGATGCCATTCCTCAGAACAAATAAATACCCGTTTTGCAGAGTGTACATAACGACGCAAACAATGCAAAAATCGCAGACCTGCAAAGGGTGCTTGGGGAGCTGAAAGGGTCTATGGAGAGTGTGAAGATTTGGATTGAGGTCGAGGGCGAAGGATGGCGGAATCGGGTAGATCGTTTGGAGAAGGATCTGGAGAAAGTGAAAGAAATAGATCAGACAAAGTCTGCGAATTACAGTGTTAGTAATGAATTCAAAACCAAGCTCATAGAGTTCACGTCAGACACTGAAAAGCTCTTGCGGCAAGAGAGAGAGCAGGTATTAATAATGTTGCAATGGAGGTGATTTTTTGGTTCAGAAATGACTGCAAAATACAGAATCATTGTGTCGCACTATATGGTCACATTAGGATTATGTTCCATGCATTCCGCACCACTAAAATTTATCCCTGTATGATCTTATGCAGGTGAGCTTAGGAACTGACAACTTAGAAGACCTAAGGCTAGTGGTGGAGAAGCTAAGAAATGACGGAAAAGACATGAAATCGGAGATTGAAGGGCTGAGGAACATAGAAAAGGTCATGAAGGTATCCTAATTTGCATAACCTATTTCAGAGATTGCATTGTGGAAGGAAGCCCACGTTGATCTCATTTAAACCTCACTCCAAAGTTTGAAAGTAGTAATTGGATTGAAACGGATAAATGAGGGTTATGTGATTCATAAGCATGGCTGCTTAATTTTTGGTTTTGACAGGTCGAGTTAGGAGATCTGCGGACAAGGTTAGGAAAGGTGCAAAATGAGACAGAAAAAATTGAGCGAGATTGGGACGCGAAATTGGAAGAAGGCGCTCGGGAGAGGCTCTTGATCATGGAGAAAGTAGAGAACCTGTCACAGCTCTACTTGGGCGGCTTAAAGGAAATTAGACAAGATTTAGACCATGTGAAACTGAGATGCAGCGATCGTTCTGAGGAGATTGAAAGCCAGTGGAGTGATTTAAAGAGGAAGCAGAAGCTAATTTATGAGGACAGCAACGCCTCCATGCCACGCCAGGTATCAGTTGCAGTATGGTGGTGATCAAGCTAAAATGGCCAATTGATCCATGATTGCGTCACTGTCGTCTTTTTCACTATGAAACATGATTGTGTTTTAAGTAAACGTGTCTTCCACACTCTCACATTGTAGATATCAATATAGCATACACGATACCATTTTCAACTTCGAATTTGTTTATATGCTGACAGGTTCTACTGGATGAGCTAGACCAATTCCGTTGCGACATCGCTGAATTGGTAGACACCGAACGTGGTCTTCTCAAGGAAACTCTTGAGAAAGAGAGTAGATCGATTTGGTGCAAAGTCATGGATGCTTACGCCAACAATAAAAGTGACATGTTGAATATGATGAAACTGGAGATCCAAAAGCAGTTGCATAGTGCCAGGGAAAATGTTCTGCTGATGACAGATGCTCTTGAGCGCAACTTGAACGAACTGAAATTAAAATTTAGACATGCGCAGGTATGCCTATGATTCACAACGCTAAGTAAAGCAGTTCGTTCTAACCACCGGCTAAATATATTTCAACAGACTTGGTAGTTTCATTAGATTTCCACACTTAGAACACATCAATCAATGGGCTTAAGGCCGCAAGAGATAATATTGATGACGATGTGTCGAGTATCCGGCAATTTAGCAGGATGGAGCCGAGGAACTAAAGCAAATCATAATATCCGCTGAAAAGCAGAAGGAGGTAGCTGCGCAAGTAGCGGCAGACGCCACCGTCTCGGCAACGAAAGCAAGGGAAATATTAACTGACATGTTGGTATCCACACAAAGTGAAATTACCAATGTACGACATGAGAGCTTGCTGTTTCAGGTTAGGTTTCTTGAAACCACGCGGCATAAAATTCACTCCCGTTTTTTGGTTGGATATTTTCATACAATGCAATTCCTGTAAGAATGGTAGTTGTTTTTGTACTAAACTGGTGATTGCTTTGAGTTGAGAACAAACATGGGAACTTGAGACTACCGAAGAATGTAGTGGTCCAGTCCCGCCCTCTAATTGTATGTACACCATGCATGCAGGAAAAATTGGCACTTGAGAAAGACATGGCAATTGCTGTAGCATCCGAAACTCGTATAGCGAGTCAGAAAATGCAGGAGGAGAGATCGGCTGCCATTGCTACATTTCAAGAAGTGCGAAAACAGGGCCAGGAACTTCAGGATACTTTGGAAAAAGAGAGCCCTAAACTTCTGTCAACCATATTGGAAGTTCAAAAAGAACGGGACACCGCATTGCAAGCCGCTGCAGATGCCACCACCTCAGCCATGAAGGCAGGGGAAGTACTGGCTGAGGTTCTGGGTTCCTTCAACTTGGAGATGGCCAAAGCACGTCACATAAATATGCAGCTACAGGTTCTTGCCAGCACTCTGTTTTCCATTGTCTTCATTGTCCAGCTATTAATTCAAAATCTACTATGAAATGGCTCCATAACAAAATGACAATGTTTTCCAGGAGGGATTGGAACATGAGCGTGGGCTTGTCACTCAGCATAGACAAGTTGTGCACAACCGTTTCAGTGAAGAACTGGAAGTCGCCTTAGCTACTTATAGACATGCGATGGATTTAGAGGTTGCGAAGTTCAAAGGTTTCCTCCAGGGAGTAGAGAAAGAGAATCTTCAGCAGGGGACGGGCCTTGCTTTGGTCGATCTAGGAGACTCTGTGTCGAAGGTTAACCTCGAAGGATGCAATGTTCTAACTCTCAGCTAGAGTTTTTCTTTGAGAAAGCTAGCCTCAGCTATTTGATTACCATCTTATTCCTATGACATGAAGTGGTTGAATAAATCCAGCACTCTCTCTCTCTCTCTCTCTCTATATATATATATATATATTTTAACACAAATTACTTACATATGTCCATTGTCAAATACAGACGGAGGACAAACTGAGAAATCTCATGGAGACCGTGGAACAACTGCAAGACTTGACAAATACTCTTGATGAAGAAATGAAACGTTTTAAGCAGCAAGAAGATGAGCAAACAATAAAGGATTGGAAGGCCAACATGACTCAGCTGAATCAGGTCCATGTCTCCTCATTTTATTGCATTTACAAGGCATTTGGATGTTTGCATCTTGGAACTAAAAAGTTAATCTATTTCAGATTCATCAATTGCCTAGTCTCGACTACTCCGGAAAACCAGGTTGCTGTGCTTACTACGTTATAGAGCTAACTAAGGCTGATCATTTCGATGCTATCTTCCAGTGTTCAAATATGACATGTTCAACAAACTTATCGAAGATTGTCCATAATGTGGAGGAACGAGTGGAGGAGTGCTCCTTAGAGCAGGCCGAATTGCGTAAGAGACTGAAGAGGTGTGAGAGTATTCAGACGGACCTTGTCCAGTCTGCTGGAGAGGTGTGCTCAACTATGTGTACTCTTGAGAAAACAGTTAATGCCTTTCATCCTCAATACGATACTGCTGTCCAAGTTGTGAATGACTTATCCTCCAAGGTGGAGCGGATGGAGAAGAGGATCGAGGATTTCAATTGTAACGAGAAACTTGCTCAGGAAATCTCCCGAGTTTATGAGACAAAAACAGAAAGCTTCAAGGAGATGAGTGTGCTCACCATTAGCTTACAAGAGCTGCGAAGAGATCTTAGAGAACTTCAAGACCATGTTAACAATAATGACTATCATCATGGCCAGGTACAAATAATATTCACTCGTCGTTTGTCGATCTCAAAATGAGGTTCGCATTGATTTGAAGGTCTGTTGATACGTATTTGTATCTCAGTCTCTGTAGAACTGATGCGATTGTTCACGTCCCAGGAGAAACAAATACATGAAATTTATCTACTTTCTGAACGTAATCCAGGGAATTGCTGAGATCGAAACCCGCATGGTGGTGATGGAAAGCACGTTGAGCGATATCCAGAATGGTGAACACTCAGAGAAACAAGAGAGAGTAACGTTGAACGACACTGTTGACACATTGCAGAGGTTATTCTGCCCCCTCAAAAATCTCGTGGGAATCTGGAGAACCAGAAAGCTTTGTCAATTTTCTTTGTATGAAATCTGGAGGATTGTCCACTGTGTGTACATCATCATGCTACACAATTTGACATCATTTCCTCCCCACAACTACAGGAAAATGGACATGCTGAAGCAGAATGTGGCTTCAAGCGGAGACTTGGAAAGTCGCATCGATCATGTGGCGTCTACAACTTTCAGTAATCTACAGTAAGTAAAATCTCAAGAAAACCACCAAATGTAAGAAATAAAAATAAAGTTGGTCTTCATTCGTTCAATTCGAAGTTCCTCACCAAGGCTGTTCAACCAACGATTCGGATTCTGTGAAGGCATCTGGAGAGCAAGGTGGAGCGGTTTTCAACGGGCGTACAATCCGCCCTTGAGAGCGCAGCATTGGCAGACAGGAAATGCGGAGCACTAGGAGTTGAAGTTGTAAAAGTATTTCGTATGTTGAAAGCGGCCACAGCTTCAAGCAATCTCGACGTTGGTGGCAGCCATTGGCCACGGCTGCCAGGTGATGGCAGCGGCTACAGAGGACGAAGCCATTCACCTCCATTAAGGAGCGCAACTCATAGACTGCAGAATGCGAGTAAATCACCTCCATTAGGACGAAAATCCACATGGAGTTCCAGTAGAGTTATTTCGTCGCCCTTGAGACGCTCTGGCGCCCCTCGAACCCGCCACAAGTCTGGAGTGAGAGAGAAACGAAGAAACCAGAGTTCTGATCTTCCGAAACTGGAAGGCTGGGAGCGAGATAAGCACTTAACAGAATCGGAACAAGACCCCAACAGAAGAAGTCCCGCCAAAAACGATTATTGGTTGAAGTCATATCCACGAGAGTCCCAACCATTCGGATTTCCAGGACAAGCTCTCACAGTGGTGGGGGACAGAGCGCCGATAGATCCATATTCGATGCCAGACCGACGTCAACAGAACTTGCAGAAGACTAATATACGTCTGGAGGGTGGCCGAATCCATGTGAATGTTTGTCGGCGATCTGGTACAGTAACTACAAGTCATTATGAGAAGCGAGCTGATGCAATTGCCGTTGAATCGTAACCCAGTTCCAAACTAGTGCACCCAGTGAATCCAGGACTATCTCCGATAAGTTAGAGGAGGCTGTCGTCCCCAACCAAGACCAATGACAAAACCAGCCTTGTCTAAGTTAACATCCTTCATTTCACTCAGTTTTCCACTGGATTTTGTCATTTCTCCAGTAGCGAGATGCTTTCCTCTCTACTCTTTGGCCTGATGATCACAAATTGATTAGGTACGCTTTGGACTGTTTCTAGTGGGTTTCAAAGCTCTACTCAAGTTGGTTACAATTCGTAGCTAATGTCAAGTTACCCCAGGTGAGGACTGGCTTGTAGCTATCAAGAGTAGAATTTCTCTAGTCACTGATGTTATTTGAATGCAGTGCTTGCAGCACAGAAAGACATGTTATAGAATCCCGATAGATAGGTTAGGTATCAATTCAATCATTGATGTGTTTCGTCAAGCGAAGGAATATTCATTGTGCTTGAGCGTTTGACTCATGAATGATTCAAAAAAACTATTAATCAGCTACCTACAATGTAAATTATTCTTTTGGATAAGCAAAGCTTTATCTGATTCACAACTTCATGGTGTGAAGTTTTGACTTAATTTCCTATCTATCTGGTTATGTCAAAACAAACGGAGGAGTCAAAGATGGAGGAAATTTCTATTAAAGGAAATGGAAAACTATCACTCAATAAAGAATTGAATACATTTAATGCTATCTTTGGTGCATAACTTTGAAGAATTGTTTTTTGTACTGAAAATGGTAGAATTTTGTACAATATTATTTGTAAAAAAATACAAACTCAAAAAATTGAGAAAAATAATTTTGTTATTGTGCTTAATATGCATAAGCAAACTAACATTTTATATTAATTTATTAAATTTTTAAATTTTAGAATATAACATTGGATGTTTAAAAATAATATTCAAGTTTCAAATAAAATGTTTGATATTTTGCTACAGTGATTTGTTGAAAAATAAAATGTTTGATATTTTGCTACAATGATTTGTTGAAAAATAAAATGTAAAGTTACCAGATGGATTTATTCTAAAAACATTTTGATATATATAATATTACATAATAATAAAATATATGTTTTTTATATGCATTGGTTATATAAAGTTAGTAGTAGTAAATACTAATAATGATAATAATAATTTTTAATTTTAATAAAATATAAAATTTATTAGATATAAATAAAAATTTATAAAATAAAATTTTTATTCAATATGTATTATTTACTAAATTATCTTTTTTCCTAAAATTTTGGTACTATGTGAACTTTAAATTTTTATTTAGTTTAAAAGTTGGAATTATATTCATTTGTTTTAATAGATCAATAATTTTTTTTTAAAGATGATATGAAAGTTTTCAAAGAAATTTTAATTATAAGAAATTTTAAATATCATAAAATCTTCTAATACAGCATTGGTTATATAATGTTATATAACAATAAAATATATATATATATATATATATATATATATTATCATGGTTTGTGTAGAAAAGATATCAACATCTTGAGATTTGTTACCAAACAAAAAAGAGTAAACCAATTGGAATCTTTAACATTCAAAACTTCTAAATCTTGATCATAATTAATTAAAAAAAAAAAAAAAAAAACCATTCAAAGCATCAAGAATAAAACACAAGTATAAATTGAGTCACAATAAAAATAAGATATATGGAAAAAATAGAAATCTAATTTTGGAATTATCCAACTTAACAAGTAATTATTAGAGTAACATTAGAATGATTTAGAATTGTATAAAATTGACATATGTATTAGAAAATGTACGTTTAAGATAATTATTTTTCACTCAAGATTCTCTTATAGTATTCTAAACAAGAAGCAACAGCACCTCAAATCTAAATGTTGTCCACAAGCTTCGGAGGTTATTTTGGCAGATTGACAAGAAAGAGAAGTTTTAATCAAAATCATACACATCAAGCCAAGAATGATTGGAAGAATCTCAATGATCTATAATAATAAAGCCTAATATAGATGATATTGCTTAGTGGGGAATAAGTGCAAGATCAAGAATTCTCTACAAATATTCTTGAATTCTTTGATATTAAAGAATTTTATGAAGTATATAATGATTGGATCAGTTGGATACATATTAAAATGAATAATATAGGTAACTTCTCAATGAAGCATGCTAATGAAGGAACTTTGAGGGATTTAGACATGTCAAATGAATCTAAGGGAAGAAACACTAGTAATAGGGCCATAGCCAAACTACCTTCAGTGAATGTGTTTACATCAAATTATTTCAAAGTTATTTATCTAACACATCAAAAGCTAATTCTTGTTGATTTGACACTCACTAAAATAGAAGGTAAGCTAAATATAGATTCATTTATCTCACTAATATAGATAGATTGGATAAACAAGAATTTTAGCTTTGAGGAACTAGGAATAAACAACATAGCAATGAACTTGTTATAATAAATGCTACGTATCTAATCTTTAGAATTATTTGGTAACTAAGCTATACAATTGAATATTGATTTGAATAAGAGGCATTTATTATACTCAATATTAGTAGGTATAAATAGGGATAATGTCATTGAGACATTGGAAACATCTTACATGGTACTTCTAATTGCAAATAAAATACAATCCGAGAGGACATTTCAATTTCTAGATACTCCTACAAAAACCATTTGATAGATAAATAGAGCAAATTACAAACTTATTGCTTTTTTAACCTCCATCTTCAATGATTGGTTGCATGGCCAAGGTTTAATAAACAATCTATCCTTTCTTCCAATACAACTTTGGTTGTTAAGCAAAACTTTAATAAAAAAAGAATCAACAATTGATTTTGAAAAAATAGAATCCATTGTCATTCTCACATAATAGGAAGCATTAGTAAGATCCATAATGATAGAAGTATCAAATAAAATCGAAGGTCAAAATTCTCCTCCTTTTCATACTAATACTTGAAGCTTGTTATACTAACTTAAAATGTACAAGGTTTGAATAATCCAACAAAAGATAAAATTAAATGAAATTACTTCTGTCAACTCCAATATAAAATAGATATAATTTGTAATCAAGAACATAAATTACAAGCCTTAAATTTAATAACAATAAAATATTAGATTTGATCAAGTGGTAGTTTCTTTGGATAAGAAGTAGATAAAGCTTATAATCACTTAGCAGACAAATTAAGAAAGAAAAGTGGCAAAATAGATTTCTAACTAATACTTTATTTATTACACCTTATTATATTATCAAGATATTCTAACTTTAGTCAAGCATATTGGATTTTGCTACAATGAGTATTAAAAGATGATAAAGCAATATTGAATATGTATGATATGCATATTGTAAAAGAATGGTATATGCTATAGATAGAATTGATAAAATTATTAGTCATTATTGATGGATCATCATTGGAAATAAAAACTTTGTAAAAAGATCATAGCAATAAGTCGAACATTTATAAATCAATGGTCTTAGGTGACAAACAAAGAATATTTAATGCACTCATGCCTTCATCTTAAATGGTGGATAACTTCTTAAGATCACACATGTTGCAATATAAGTGGGATAAGGAGCAAAGATTTGGCAATTCGGCCATGAAAGACTAAATTGTATCTATATTTTTTTGTCTTATAAAGAGACTACTTTTAGCTCCAATTATATGATATTTGAAGAAAATGTGTACTTTGACTATATAGCTATATAAGGGCATGTACAAATTCAATCAAAATCGAAGAAAAAGTTGATCTATGTGATGAGTATCTAAGACTCGACTATTGCCAAAGTAAAATCCTAAATCCAAATGATTTAATAATTGCATCCTTTTTGGTCTTTCTTTGAAAAGATGCAATGTTGTATAAAATTTTATAAACTCTATTGTATGTTATAGACATCCAATAAGAAGATTTTATAAATATTCTTAAAAGATTTTAATTTTTTTTAGAAATATTAAAGAAATTTTCCAAGAAGCTTTCTAAAGTTGTTTCATCTTCAAGCAATATGGAAGCTTCTTTAAGATCTTCTTAAGATTGCTTCATCTCCAAGTAATATTAAAACTTCTTGAGAAGCTTCCTAATACTTAGTATATATTAGAATCAAGATTGAAGGGATCCTTAGTCTTGACAATACATTTCTTGAAGCTCTATCTCATCTCTCTTGGTGTTGATCTTATATTTATTTAATTTATTCAAGTTCTTATTAACTTTCTTATTGAAATTCTTTTGTTCAATTTCTTGTTTGGTCTCCTATGTAGTGTATTCATGACAATTTGTCAAGACTACTCTCTAATCAATACTAGAGCTTGATCTTTTTTTTATTAAAGAGTGGATTATCTTGCTTTTTAAAGGCATCGAAGTGCTTTAGAAGTTATAGAGTATTGTCTTCTAAACTAATATTATTTTAGATTTTTTTTTTTTTTTTTTTTTTTTGTTAGGATAGTTGGAAGTAAAGATGATAATATGATTGAGTCTCTTAAGTCTAAATTGGATGTTATTATGAACACATTGAATGCTTTAGCTTGCAAAACTATTAAAATTGAGGAATTTTTGTAAAATTTTATGGTGATTCAAGACTTGGAGCAGGTTAGCCTATAATGCAATTACTTTCTTAAGCTTTTACATCTAAGAAGGCTATGGCAACTATACTTCAACAAAAAAATTCATCCATTCAACAATGTAAAGAGCCTTAGATTAGTCTTTTAGAAAAGTTTGATGACACACACTCAAAGTTTCAAAAATTTGTTAACCAAATTTGATTGATAATTTTTCTACAATCTAATCATTATCCAACATAAGAATTATAAGTTGATTTATTTGGACCTTTGCTCACAAAACAAGCTTTATGTTGATTTGTTTTTTTATTTGAAAAGAGATTTTGAATCTTGTGCAACTCTGAAGTTTTTTTAGAAGCATTTGTAGAGACATTTAGAGAACATAAGTAGGCTTAATTGACAATAATAAAGATTTACTCACTATGCCAAATATTAAATTCTACATTAGTTTATGCATTTGATTTTAGGCAATTGGCTTATGACATGAATTGGAATGAATAAGCTTTTATGAATCAATTCTATTGGAAACTAAGAAATAATATGAAAGACCTATTATTATTATTACATGATCCTCAAATGCTTAATGAAGCTATTAGCCAAGCTATGAAGTACAATATTTGATTATTTCAATGCCATCAAGATCAATGCTTGTAGACTTTGACAAAGCAAAGGATTAAATATTTGTACTTTTTTTTTAATAAATATATTACTTCCATACTCTAAAGCTAAAGATATGTAAATTCATATAGTATAATTTAAAATTCTTATAGAAAAGAAAAAAAAATCAATAAAGCCTATGCTTATATTATAGTCAAGAAAGTCACAAATTTGAGAATTTTTCAAAAAAACAACATACAATCAAAACTAAGAGTTTGATCGTTCAAGAAAACAAAGAAGCCTAGAAAAAGTAAGGACCATGCGGCTAAATATTTCAATATCTTAAATTCATCAAGGTCCCTTTTTTTCTAGTCAACGTGCTTATTGTTTTATTATATCTTTATTTCTTAGCCTACAAAAACTTCAAATAAA